CATCCATCCATCCATCCATCCATCCGGCCGTCCGTCCGTCCGTCCGTCCGTCCGTCCATCCATCCATCCATCCATCCATCCATCCATCCATCCATCCATCCATCCATCCATCCATCCATCCATCACGCTTATCCCAAGCATGTTCGCAAGGTTTGCTGGTGCCTATCTCCAGCTGTCTACGGGCGAGAGGCGGGGTACACCCTGAAAAGGTTGCGATTCCATCACAGGTTTTGAAAAACCAAATATAAAATATACCTTTAACACAAGTTACTCTAATATAACTGAAATCAAAATCTTTGTTATTGTTAAAGAAATTGCCAAGAGGGGACCTGGATTTTTGAGCGTTGCATACATATCAAAGTGGGGACCTCCTCCTAATAACTACTAATAAACCACTAAGTAAAAATGATAAGAAGAGATAAACATCTAAATGATAAATTTGACCTTAAATTAGGTAATACCTTTTTTGGAAGAAAAGATCACCTCTGGTTTCAAAGGGAAAGAATACTCCAGAATACTTGCTGTTTTTGTCTCCTTGAAGTAATAGCCGTAGAACAGTTTAAAAAATAAACAATGTATTTTAATGATTTAAAATTTGCTTTTGATCTTGTCAAATGTTCTACTTTAGAGATAGATAGCTTTAGAAATTACACTAGAAACCAATTACTTAATATGCTCTGATACATAATTCCATAAAATCAACCATTGGGTATTCATTTTTTTGTTTGTTTACTTTTTTTTTAAATATAAGTTGATAAAAGCCTTCATTGTTTAAACTCCAATGTAAAGAAAAAAAAGGCAAAAGGCTTTCTGGCTAAATATTTTATTTTCCTCTAAAAAGACACAGAGAAAAACAAGTACAAAAAAATAAAAATGACTAAAACTAACCCAAACCTTTCAGTTGCACAAGGTTCCGACTGGCTCCCTTTGGGACGACAGAGGTCCCCTGCTAGCTGACATAGTATGACACAATACCCCATCGAGAAACTATAGAGCGATATACAGTACACACTCTAGATTGGATGATATGCTTTACTACTTCAGGACAGATTTCTTTTAAAAATATACTCTAAAAAAGACACAAACACGCATAAATAGCAATAAAAGCTGAAAAATTTTCCCATTTACAGAAAATATTTAACTATAAATACAGCACTAAATAGGACCAGTATAATAACCAGCATAGTGAGGTTGAGCTCTAAAGTAAAGAAGCCGAATATTTCTCCAATCTCAACTTTAAAATCCAATATGGCTGCTGCAGCTTTCAAACATGCAGCTCCATCAGTGCGCATGTTCCCTTACAAGAAAACATTTAGGATGCAGTGGTCACTGCGTGCTCTGTATTGGTCGACATGCCACATTTTATTTATTTTTAAAATATAAAAATATAAAAGACTATTATTTGAAGAGAAGCTGAAGTGGTGCTTTGTTGATATTAGTTCAAACATCACTGAATGAATAACTTTCTAGTTTTTTGAATTGGAACTGAAAAATGGTGAAGTTGGTTCTGATCCATGTTTCTTCTTAAGAGCTATATACCACCAGCCATAACTTTTGGCTCCTCTTCAGTTTATAGTTCCCAGAAAATTCTCCACAGCACCTTTTTTTTTTTTTTTTTTTAAAGTTTCTCTTTAAAAGACACCAGCATGCTTAAACGATTTAGCACGCTATTTCACTTGCCATGTTTACCTTAGCAACAAAAGAGACAACCCAACTACCATCAGTTTTACTTGTACCAACTTTGTAAACCATATGTTTATGGGATTTTAAATGTTTTTTTTTTCTCACTTCTGTTATTTACGGTAAATACAGTTAAAGAATACCACAGGCTTCTTGTCTCTACTTGCAAAGAGAACGCTGAAACAGAGAATGATAAATCCCCGAAAACACTGCAGGTTAATGAGGACTGCTACACTGGCTTCCTTACATTTAAATCCTGTCTGTCTTATTTGCTCAGAATCAGTAGTGAACTCAGCATTACTATGAAATTAAACATAATTTGAGCAATTACACCCATTTAAATATAAGATGAGGCCCAGAAAATAAATGATCTAACAATAAGTTTGACAACAGAATCCTGACATCATAATTATGCTTTACTTTCAGTTAAAAATGAAAATTCTTGGAGGCGTTAAAGAGAAAATAACTGCAGTTTGTTTACACATACTATACTTTATTAACAGTAAAAAAAAAAAAACAAAAAACAAATGTATAAGGCTGCTGGTTTAGTTGTTCTGCTCCAAAGTATTGTTGGTCCCACCCAGTCACCCCTTTAAAAATGTTCTAACTGATATTGTTAACAAGAATTGTTAGCTTCAAACTCCACAAAACTTGGTTCCTAGATTAAAAACTATAAAAATAAAAGTTTGATCTGAAGATTACATAAACATACGTTAAAATACGAGACGCTACAGTTACAGACGATGTTACTAATCAACCTGTTACTCAAGTCGCTCTTTCTGAGAACCCCCCAGAGGGGTGTTTAACGTCAGCACTGCTGACACCAACCCTCAATGCTCGGATGCCTCTGAATATGCTGATCATTTCCTCCTTTATTACTCATTTATTTTGTGCTTGGCGAGTTCTGCACTGCATGTGTGACGTGTGTAGAGAAGTGCTCACTATGTGGAATACGTTCACCTTTGTGGAGGAAGCCACCTGCATTGAAAAACGGAAAAAACAAGAAGGACCAAGGGGAAATGAAGAGGTGGCATTATTTAGAAATATTAAGTCCGTACCAAACCTTCCAAGCAGATCAACCTTTCATCCTGTCCTGGGACCTGCAAAGGTGCTATTGGTTGTTAACTTTTTCTTATTGTTTTATTTAACTTTTTTTTTAAGTCTACAAAGGCCTCACATGGTTAGAGAACATTTGTCAGCATCAACATTACAAAGATGTATACTAAATCTGGAAATTGTTGATAAAAGAAAACAAGTGTTACAGTTTTAAGGTGTTTATTTTGTAGTAACAATCTCTCTTATTGGTCTTTTTTCACTATTCTGATCATGTATTATCTTTTTTTTTGTCCTAGTCTCATTTTGTTTCATCTGTTCATGTATTCAGAGTTTCTTAACTTAAGCTGTGTCTGAACATCTGCCTTAATGTTACACTATTTTATATGAGTATCCGAATGTTGAGCAGATGGAAAAGTAGTGGACTTAAAGTTTCCCACAATGCACCTTGACAGGCATTGTGCATGTCACTACCCGCAAACTATGCACAGACAGATGTACATCCGGTTGCCCATAAATACTGTAATTATGGTACTAAAACTAATTACTTCTATCCTTAACTCACAAAGAATGCTAATGCAAATCTTTAAAAAGTTTTATAAATTTTGTGAGACAATTTTTATGATTTTTACATTTTTTTTGTTAAACTGCTTCTCTGACATCATAATCGGACATGCTCAGGGCAGTCCGGCAAAATATGGTTAAACCGTGTTTATCTGCATTTTAGTTGTTTCTTTCTTTAGATTCCGCAATATTTACCATAAGGTTAACACGAAATGAAAACATAAAACGACATAAAAAGACTAGATGTATGTTTAAATCCAAAGCCGAAAAAAGTTAGCCACCGGAAGTAATACTGATTTAACTATAAAGTCTTCTATATTGTCCCCGCTCTTTAGGCTGTCTCTGAAGGTCAACAGTAACCCCTCCATGACAAAATGGAGCGGGGACTATATACTGCATTCAGTTGACTGATCATTCAGACAAATGACCGCTACTTTTTGCCTCCTGTAGATCTGTTGGTTTTTTATCTTCTTCACAGTCAGACACTAATTTAAAATGGCATAAACCCCTATATAATGCTCTACATAGCAGGCTAGAGCGGATGTTCGGACACAGCCTTCACCATGCCTTAGTCCCCTAATCAGCTTAATAATTTACACCTTCTCTTGTTCTACTTCAGTCTCTTGCACTAACCTGTCTCTATATAGTTCTGTTTCTATTCACCCCATATGGGACAATATTCATTACCAAGCCTGCCTTATTCAATATTCTAAGTTTCTCCCTAAATTCAAAACTTCGTCTATCGGTCTCTCTTTCTGGCTCCACCTAAAAAAAAACTCCTCCTAACAACATGGTCAAGTTTTAAAACAGTATTCCAGCTTTAAAGATTTCATGGAGCACATGGCGCTTTGCTTAAATAATCCGTGCTAACGAGAGATGAGCGGGTGGGGTACAGTCACTTTCATAAATTCATTCCCCTTGCTAAGTATTTATCTTAGCTGTCAGTTTAATTTGGATTCTTGTGCATAGACTTAAAAGAAGGATGGTTCAGTGAGTTGTAACTTTTTTATGTGCCTTACTTATTTATTTATTTATTGCTATCCATTGTCCCCTATCAAGATGTCTGTCCCACATTACCAGACCATAACCGGGATCTCTTTTTGATCTTAAAATTAGTTAAAGCTCTACATACTGGACATTGTGCAGAGACTAAAAATAGCCTATTTAAACATCTTATATGGAATGATTTCTGGTATATAGAGTTTTAAAATGTGAATTTTCAGACTAAACAGTTGATTAGGTTAAGGATCCAAATCTAATATGGCTTTTGGTTTTGATGTCCCAGACAAAGATTATTGTCTTTCCCCCTTCTGATCACCAGTGACAAAAGATGTTTGAAAAAAAAAACAATGAAAAGTTTGGTGCAACATGTCAGGAACTTCAAACATACAGACAAAGTAACAATGGAGGGATTTTATGATTTTATGAAAAGGATGTTTGTGTGTAATAATGGTCCACTCGAAGTCTAGGCCTTATATCAAGCACTTCAACAAGACATGAGATATTCCCTTTTCACAGATTTGCTCCATTTAAATTGGCCAAGTGGGATCCGTTTCTTAAAGAAGGGTTGCTGGTAAATTCAGTCTCTAAATAGTCAAAGCTGGTAGAGACTATCCAAAAAAACAAACATGCAAAAAATGCTCCAACAAAGAATTAAACCAGGACATAAACAAACAGATGATATCTGGTTGAGTTTATTCTACCACTTTGAGATAATGCACAACTTAAAAAAACAAAAACGGATGAATATTTTTGCAAGCAACAGCAGAAAGATACAACAGATCAGGAAAAGATGACGACTTTTATCAGCCCCTGGCAGTTTAAAGCAACATTCCTATCCTGAACTTAAATGAATAGATTTGTCAGGGGGATCATTTTCCATGAAAGGTTCACCATAAGCAGCAGCCCTCTATCTTAATCTGTTAACCACTCAGAATTATAAAAAGTTTCTTTATCCCAGACAACTTTCTCTGATTACTGGAACACAAAGTATCACAAAATCTTTCATTTACCGTCATCATAAAACATTTATGTTCTCATGAGATTAGAGCTTTACTGTTCGGCATTTACGAAGAGATTACTGATTTGTTGATGACGATTTATCAAACAAAAATTCAGGAATTTTCCCAGAATGGTGAAGCTGATTTTTCTTACAGTAAGAGATTTTTTTAATAACTGTTTGCATGAGTTAAATGCTGTTTTCTGTCATTTATGAAGGATTAGGGATTACAGTTAGCAGCGACTCTCCCTCACTCAACAATGTGGATTTGTTGTACAGCTGCATGAGAAGTGTTTCTCTTCACATTCTCATCGCATGCTGCCCTGTAGACTTTAAGGTGTACTCAGAATATACTTCGCTTCACTCATTGTTACACTGGCATGCTTTTGGAAAAACCTCCTTTTTATGTGGGAAATCCAGAAATGTTACTGTATTTGTAGGTAAGAGTTCATCCGTCTTCTTGTTATGCATCAAACAATGTTAGCTTTCTCTTTCATTTCCCTGTTTAAAACACCCATCTCCAAACAGTCGTTTTCTATAGAACTGAATATGGCTGTTTCTGTCGTTATTCAACATGAGTCATTTGTAAAACTGGCTGTTTAAGTTCTACCCAAATGCCTGCAGGTGGCATCACAGCTCCTATTGGGGTTACGCTGGCTGAATATGTTGAAATACCAGTTTGTGAGTCACTGGGAAGGTAATCTTCCAAAGTTTGGTTAAAATTCTGCTCCCATATGTGTGAACTTGCCCTAGGCACCCTTTGGTGTAAATGTTAAAACATAAAAATATGATTGTTTTTTTCGTTTGTTTGTTTTTGTTTTTTAAAGATGCCACTGTAAGAATATTCTTTGCTCAAATTATAACCCCAAGAAGTTCAAAATATTAGAACCCTCAATGCACTTTTTTAAAAGCATGTATTTTCAGACATAAAGTCTTTGGAATTTTCTACTCAGAGTCTCCAATCTTTTACAAAATTAAACAAGCTAGGACATGCAAATAAGGAACAGCAGAGCATGACTTGTTGTCATGCTCAGGCCTATCAGCCCAACCCTTTATTCCCCTCCTAGCCTCCCTTCTATCCCTTGCCAAACAGGATATGTAGGATCTGAGAGAGAGTCATATTCTCAGGACACAGGAATGTCAGAGCGCCTGCTGGGACATGCTCCCTACATCCTCTCAAACTTACTGGAAAAAGAGTCCAGATTTTCCAGGTTGCTCAGAATTCTGTTTGTTAGATACAGTCCGCAGGCCAGGTGTGCTGTATGTCTACACTGAGTCCCTGATGTCAATCTTAGATCTCTATGATCTCAATTTTTAAGAAGTCCACAATTTCACATTTCCCTTAAGACTTGTTATTGATTCAAAAGAAAAGAGAACTTAAAAACATACATATTTTTTCATTTTATTTTGTATAAAAGTCATTAAAAACTCAGACTTGTGTTAGAAAGCAGACAAGTCATGAAGACAAAAGGCCCAGGAATATAAATACAAGGAACTCGTACAATTCCCGCAGTCTGCTAGGAATGGCACAAATCAAAGGAAATGTAAAGGATTATCCCCTACACCATCTATTATTATCATTTCTCAGATACTTTTGTAGAAATGTAACAAAACAAGATTTTTCCCGCTCAATGCTACATTTGTGAATTGGTTGTGAACCGCACTAGTAACCGGGACGACTGGTTTTCCCCTGTTACATGGACTAGTTCTGAATACTAGCGCTGGGTCATTTTCCTGTTGCATGGACAGGGAAAACAGTTTGCACTGAAATGTGATGAAAAAGTTCAGTTTTTTTAAATGGATGCAATGCCATTTTAGTTAACGGACCAGTGGCTAGAAGTCAGCGATGACTCTCTGTGGGACTGGTTGGGGCTTTGGCTGTAGGTGGGGGAGAGAGTGATGCTGGGACTGCTGGGAGGTGTGGAGGAACAGGAAGAGGACTTGGATTGGAGCTGCAGCCACTTGTCCTCTCCTAGCGCCTTGGCAAAGTGGTCATCCACAGACACACTGATGGAGAGTTCCTTGGCACGGGCTTGCTGGTAGTTGGCCCCCAGGCTCCTCTGGAAATGCTCCTCAAGGACGTGATCATAGTTGCAATTGGAATCTGTTGGGGAAAAAAAGGAAGCGTACATGAGACAAGGCAAATACACACCTCCGTGAGTCAGAAAGAGTCTGTTCGGGAGTGAGATGTTTAGTCTATGATTCGAGTGTGACGAATTGGGAGTGACAGTCTAGTGAGAGTTATACACTGACCTGAGGAATGGCTTTTGCGGACCTCAGGTCTGGAAGAAGGGTTTTTTACTGAAGGCACACAGGTGATCACAGATGGACGCATCTATAGAAACAAAAAGAAGTAGGTCAACCATTAAATAGGTGTAGTTCATTTGGATTATTTGAATCTTTAACCAGTAGAATTGCTGCCTGGATCTGAGTATGCATTAACTACGGCAGTAGGGTGCAGAGTTTAACCTGGAATCAACATAAAAGTGATTAAACTGGTTGGGTTTGCTCCTGATGTCAGCTCACTCCCACTGTGATGGCATAAACAGTTCAGAAAGAAAGCAGTCTGTTTGGTCTTGTTGATGGCGTTCCTCCCTCCATTGCTTACATTTTCTCCCTGAATCCGGCTGGATTGCATTGCTCAGGCAAGCTTAGGCCTGTGTACACTCCTGCTAAATAGATTCACTGACTAAAGACTCTAGATGTACCCCTGCTCTGGGTTAGCCTTGAGCTATACTGACACTACAAAGGGACATCAGAAATGCAATGTTTCCAAAGTGATTACCCCCCCAAAATTCCTTTACTTCTCTCAAAGATTTGCAAGCACTCCCTGTTCAGAAAAGCTGAAGCAATCCAAATTTGGGAGAATAAAGAAGTGAACTCAAGTACCTGGATCTTACTGCCAGCTGAGCCAGAAATCTTTTCCTCTGCATTTTCAGGCTCTTTCCTTGGTTTTTTGATCAGTGCCAGAGGTTCCTCACTGACTGGCGTGTAATACACATAGGCAGGCAAAGGGCTTGTTGGGCTCGGTGTTGGGCACTGTGGAGATGATGGACTCTGCTGGTTACTGAAGACTGCAGGCATGGGTCCTGGTCTCTGGGCCATTTTGCTCCTGTTAATTGCCCGCTCTCGTCTAAAACAGATAGAGTCGTCAATGTGAATTCTTTATATTAGGAAAACGTTATTTATGTTTGAACACATAAAAGTGTTTTTACAAACCTTTCCTCCAAAGTCAAGCCTTTCTCGTAGCCGCGCTTGCGTTTAATCGGAAACACAGCTGGAGCTCGAGTTCGTTCGTTTGCCATATGTCTGTATCGGTCTTCTCCTCTGTGATGAGGCTGACCTATAAAACAAATGAGAAAGCCAGACTATCAGAAATGTTTACACAATATGATGATGATATCCTGATTTATACAATATGATGATGATGATATCCTTATTTACTAAGGGACAGTCACCGATCTTTCATCATAAGTTACCCGCCATAATTGTATCCATTAAAAAACGTTAAGCACTAATGGATGAGTAACAGTTGTTTTCATCCCATGACATCAACCTGCATGACTGCTAGTCGTGGGAAATTTTTTTTTCCACCGTTAATGATAAGCTCCGTTAAGTGGTAGAACTCGATCTACCTGATCAGTAAGACTTCACAGCTGATTCAATGCTAACGGTAAATGTTGTTTTTCTGCAATGTTGGCATCCAGCCTAGTCACACGCTCCCAAGGACTTGATCAACACAGGTTTTTTTTTTTTTCTTGAATTAGTGAGGTTAACATCTGAATGGTTCCAGCTACAATTTGACTGGCACTTACTAGTTAAAGGCCACGAGCTGAGGTTTGCACCAATGAACTGAATAAAAGGAAAGGCAACAGCTGCATCTAACTCCAAGAAGAGCACAATTGAGATGCTAAAAAACAAATCAATGGGCTATTAAGTCAAAGGGTTTGAGATGGAAAGTCATGCATATTGTCAAAACGCCATCGTTACTTAAAAATGCGATCATCCTATGCCTCATTGTAAGAGTGGATGCTCTCTCAACACTTGCACATCCACATTCACTACACGACTAAAGGTTTGTTTGCAGAACAATAACTACTGCATTCTGAAACAGTAGGTGATTATCTGTTTTGCAGTGCAGGACTAGAAAGAAGGAGGTCAGCACCATTACTTAGACACTTCAGTTCGCATTAGCTATTGCATAAACATTCCACCACCTGTGTGTTACTCCTTCACAGTTTGCCGTTGTGTAGGGGGAGCAGGTATAACCACACCTATGCTGATTTTCTAACGCCTCGGGCATGGGTATTTTTTTCTTATTAGCACATATGTGCTGCATGACCTTCTGTTTTGTTGAATCCAACCAGGTTTTGCATAAGTTCAAAGAAAACACACATTTAATAATAATACGTGTGTTGACATTCTAAAAGGAATTTATAAAGTGTCCCTGATTTGTTTTGTTAAAAAAAAAGACTTAATTGGTGCATTGGCATTAATCAAACAATATATATTCTTAAGGTGTATTTGATGAGGTACTTGTTGATTTTCATCTTGAATTTGGTCAGATTTGTTTTCTTATCAATCACTGTTTACAAAAACACCACTGACGAGCAAAACCATTTAAAAGAATAAAACAATTAGAATACTTTGTCACATTATGAAATAGACACATGTCAACCGATATCGCTGAAATGAATAAGCTGTTCATGTAAATTGTTTCGTACAAAATAAATGTATTTTTGAAAATAAAGCAACAGAATGAAATAAAGGGAAAGTGTTCCCCAAGCTCACCCTCTAAAATGTAGACCTTGAAGCCACTGCTCATCCTGGTAATATACTGGAAATTAGCCACAGCCATGGCTTCTTGACTTTGTCTGACTGAAGACAAGCACTCGCTGGAACAATCTGATCCTCAGCTATGGATTGTATTGGAAAGGTAATGAGATTCAGGATCTGCGCTCAGGCAGGTAAAGTGTCAGGTGCAGATTGCCTCAACTTGTGACTCATGGCAGTGCTCAGATTGGCTGTTCCCTGGACCAATGAGGAGGCCCCATTCATTCACTCCATTGTAACAGTGTTTTAGGCGCAATGTTCTCACAGGTAAACTTGTTTTAAAGGTGGAAAGTTGAGTATTTAAATGTCAAGGGGCTGAGCCTCTCCTCTCATATCTCCCTTCTGAAGATTTTCCCTAAAATGATAAAAACTCAGTACTTTTCAGGGACAATTTTCTTTTTAAGATTGTTTTCAGATTCCTACCAGTGTGGTCCTCTAGGTGAAATATGCCTTTTGTTTTTCCTCCATGGAAATCAGAGCCTAGCCCACCCCTCTCCTTTCATCCCTCCTCCACCCCCCTCATCTGAAATCTCACCAGACTGCATTTTTCCGTGTGTTTAGCCCACCCTGGCTCTAGTCATTCCACTAGCCTGCCCATACACGCTAGCAGCTGTACTCTGAGCCCGCCTCACCTATAATCCAAAGGCTTTTGTTAAAGGCTGGACAAAGACTCCTAAGTTCTGAAAGTACTACAGGCATGAGAACAATCTTATCTGTAGACAGTATGACATTGACTGTATGGGAAACAACCCTCACTGTGCAGCTGCACTGTGAGGCAGCAACTATTTATTCATACAGGGGAACATTAACCCAAAAATTGAAGCACTGTTGAGGCCCTTGCTTAAAATATGTCTGTGAACAATACACTGGGTCTAATTTCAGCACAACAGTGCCCTCTTATGTCATGCATAGCAGAGGCAAGACTTACAGCAATGGCATTTTATTAATAAGAGGACGAGCAAGTTTGAGCTTTAACGAATGCTCCAATAAACTGCATTGCACACTGATCTAACAGGTCCATCTGTTTCCCTGATTCAGGGATACACGAATAAGAAAGAAATTATAATAGCTTGTTAATATTTTAATACTTTTCTAAATCAATTTAAATGATCATTAACAGCATTTCTGTGAAAGGTGAACAACATTAAAGACAACAGGGTGTCAAATATAAAAACAATGAAACCTTTAGGAAAACAGCCATGACTGTTAGAATGACAATCGGAAATTTGAATAGTTTAAAGAGTTAAATAAACCATTACAAAATCATGGTGCTGTAAAAGTGGGAATAAACAGTTGATTTTTACTCTGGCACATGTTATTCCATTTTTATTTTACTGAAAATAATAAGTTAATAAAAAGTAGTTAGCAAACTAATGTATTATATTACTTTAATAAATAGGCAGGCCTATTGTTAGTGTAGATTCCCTTTTTTTAATGTTTCTGATCATCTTTTAACAACGGGTCAACTACCTTTTAAAGGCTGAAGGCTACTTCATGAGTACTGAGTCATAGAAAAGGCTATCAATACTGAACTTTGAACTGGAAGAGTTAGCATTGACATAAACTTTAAACACAGTAAACATATTTTTATTTTGTTTTATTTAAATTTTTTAGATATTGTCATTTTGAAATCTCTATAAATGCTTCAATTCTCTATATGATTACTATGATGACATGCTCTATAAATGATTAAAAAAGGACAATGAAATAAAAAAATATATAAAAAAAAAATAAAAATATATATATATATATATATATACACAGAAGCTATATACACACAGTAGACTGAGCATTAATGTAACGCAGAATCCTGATTGGGGGAGAGAAACATTGTCCAGTGTCATGGGCGGCTCTTGGCCTTGTTGATAAGGCCGGTAGCAGATGGGAAAAAACTGTTTTTGTGACGGGAGGTTCTGGTCCTGATGGACCGCAGCCTCCTGCCAAACGGAAGTGTCTGAAATAATCTGTGACTGGGGAGCGAGGTATCAGCCACAATCTTCCCTGCACGCCTCAGAGTCCTGGAGGCGTGCAGCTCCTGGAGAGATGGGAGGTTGCAGCCAATCACCTTCTCTGCAGACTGGATGACACGCTGCAGTCTGCTCTTGTCCTTAGCGGTGGCACCAGCGTACCAGATAGTGATGGAGGAAGTGAGGATGGACTCAATGATGGAGGAGGAGTAGAACTGCACCATAATTGTCCTGGGCAGGTTGAATTTCTTCAGCTGCCGCAGGAAGTACATCCTCTGCTGGGCTTTTTTGGTGAGGGAGTCAGCTCCCACCTTAGGTCCTGGGAGATGATAGTTCCCAGGAAGCGGAAAGACTCCACAGTGTCAATGGTGGAGTCACAGAGGGTGATGGGGGTAGCTGGGGCTGTGCTCTTTCTGAAGTCCACAACTAACTCCACTGTTTTTAGAGCGTTGAGCTCCAGGTTGTTCTCCCTGCACCAGGTCACCAGATGGTCAGCCTCCCACCTGTAGACGGACTCGTCACCATCGGAGATCAGTCCGATGAGAGTGGAGTCGTCCGCGAACTTCAGGAGCTTGACAGACTGATGACTGGAGGTGCAGCTGTTGGT